GGGGGGGGGGGGGGGGGGGAAGAGGGCCAGCCAGTCGCATGGCCACAACCGGGCGCCTTCTTACTCGACCTCCTCCGGGTCGTAGGTGAAGGGCAGGAACTTGTGGCCGGCACCCTCGAAGAACTTGTTGTTGAACTCGACCCAGTGCAGACGCAGGGCGTGCAGGAAGGCCGACAGACCCTCCATGCAAATGAGCACCGCAATGGTCAGGCACAGCCAGGCGGCGAAGCAGACAACCAGCATGGCACCATACATGAAGGTGGAGTCAGCGGTGCCGTTGAGACCGTTGCCGAGGGTCATGGTCCACAGGACCTCGGACAGCTGGGCGTGAGCCAGAGACAGAGCCCACAGACGCAGGTAGGAGGCGGTGTTGGAAATGCACCCGAGCACGAAGTCAATGGTGTGAATAGAGGAGTGAATCATCACCTCGCCGAAGTTGAACTCATCCCCATCAAGGTGCAGATCCGGGTCGGCCTGCATGCGAGCCAGCAGGCTGTCCTCGACATGGTGGTCATCCTCCTCGCCCTCCAGGCTGTGGTCGGTGCTCTTGGGCAGGTACGAGTAGTCGGACTGGCTGCCGGGCTTCGGGGCATAGCGGCGCTTGAGGATCATCGGCTTGACGATGAGCATCCAGGGGACGGCCAGCAGAGCCATGATCAGGAGAATCACCTGGACGGTGGACTGGCCACTGTAAAGCGGGGCATCAACACGGCCGGGAGACAGGAACATGAAGATCAGGAGATCCAGCAGCGAGGGCGGCTCGGCATTGGTCCAGTCGGTGGCCCACTTGAGGATGATGCACACCAGCAGGTAGCCGAAGATGGAGAACAGGAAGATCACCCGGGGGATGAACTCGTTGATGACATGCAGGCGGCGCTTGAAGTGCAGGTGGTTGAAGAGAGACAGCAGCAGACCGGCCGACATGTGGACAATACCCAGGACAATGGACATCTTCATCTTGTAGGAGTTGGAGAAGATGAGGAAGTTGTCGGAGCCAAACCAGCCGATATCCAGACCGATGGCATAAATGTGCCCGGTGAAGGTACCGACCACCGAGCCATTCGGGTCGCTGGGGGGGAAGGCCCAGCCGGACTTGAACAGCGGCATGCCCTTGGAGAAGATGTCATTGTAAATGAGACCGGTGAAGATGGAGAAGAGACCCATCAGCAGGATGATGTAACGACCGAAGTAGACATTGGACAGCAGCTCATTCTGCTTCCAGGAGACCAGCTTCTTCTCGTTGATGCACACCAACAGGGCACCGAGGGTCATCATGACGGCGTGACCCAGATCACCGAACATGACGGCGAACATGAAGGGGAAGGTGATGATGGAGAAGGGAGCCGGGTTGATCTCACGGTAGGTGGAAATACCATAGGCATCGACGATGGCCTGGAAGCCCTCGGTGAAGCGGTTGGTGTTGAAGTGGGTGGGCGGCTTCTCGCGAGTGGTCAGGATGTTGACCACCGAGGGGATATTGGTGCCGGCGGCGGCGGTGCCCCGGTCCAGGGCCACCTGCAGGGCGCCCATGGCGGTCTTCGGCATCCAGCCCTCGGCCACCAGGCACCGGGAGGACATGTCATGGCTGAACATGTTCATCAGGTGGTAGGTGGCCTTCTCCTTGCGAACATGCTCGGCCCAGAGGGAAATCGACTCGGCGATGCTGAGGAAGGACCGGCGGTTGTGGGCGGTGGTCTGGGTCAGGACCTTGCCCATGTCCGAGCGGCGGGCCTCGATCTGCTGGAGCAGCTGCTCGCGCTCCGAGCGCGAACGAGGGCAGTTGTAGAGCCGGGCCTCGAAGCTCTCGGCGATCTTGATGATCTTCTCCTGAGCATGGAGACCATGGGAGAAGACCACGAAGACGCTCTTGAGGGCGTCAGCCGGGCTGGCATTGGAGGCGTCGTCGCCCTCGGCGCCGGTCAACGAGCCGGCATTGTCCTCCTGGAGCTCCTCGGTCTCGAGGTGGGAGTCATCATCGGCGATGCGAGTGTGCACATTGCCACGCAGGGCGCGGAAGAGAACACGCTCGAAGATGGACACCTTGCTGCGGGGAATGATGCCGCACACGAAGTCGATGGTGACGGCATCGGCACCACCGGCGCTGGAGCCAGCATGCGCGCCGGCCCCATGCTCAAGGTCATGGTACGGGTCCTCGGCAGTGGAGGACAGGGGCTGGTACGAGCCGCTGGTGGCGCCGGCATCGCGGCCGCCATTGATGGACAGATGCTCGTGGGGGCTGGCACCAATGCCACCAGAGGTGGACTCCAGCACATCCGAGGTGTGGTGCAGGACGGTGGCCAGCTCGATGAGCTCGCGCTGGTTCCGGCGGATGGTCTCCTCGTTCTGGTTCAGCTGGCGGACCTTGGCCTCATGGTCGACGAGGATGGCATCCAGCTCGTCAATCTCGGCCAGGGACACCGAGTGCGAGCGGATGGTGAACTCATCCTCGACCGGGCGCGGCTCAATGCCGAGGCGGGTCAGCTGGGTGGCCAGGAACCGGATGCGGCGCTCCATCTCCTCGCAACGGCGGATGTTCTGGACGTAGGTGCGCTGGAAGGCGTTGACCTCGGGGTTCATGTCACTGGGAGGCGGGGAGGAGGTGACCCGGAAGAGATGACCAGCCGGCAGGGGCGCATGTGTGTCAGCCACAACCACAGGGCCAGAGGCAGCAGCAGCAGCAGCAGCAGCAAGAGGGGCAGATGACAGGAGGAAGCGCAGAAACTCGAAAAAAGAAAACATACCGGAACTGGATGATCGAACGCTCACCAAGCTGCTGGACGGTGGACCGGGCGGCCTCAGTCTGGATGATGAGCTGGATCAGCTGCATCTCCTCGCTGCGGAAGACACCGGTACCGGGCTCCACATTGGTGGACTCAGGGAAGCCGGACATGGTGGAGGGGAGAGTAGAGGCCGGGGGGAAGCCCTGGCCCGAGACTGAAACTTCCACGCGGGCTATTTTTGGGACGGCTCCAATACGCGCGGCAACTGGGGAGGAGTCCTGCGCGAAAGTGGAAAGAGGTGAAAGACGAAGAAGGCGGAGGGGAAAGGGGAGAGGGGTTTCGTCTTCGGCGTTAGTAGGGGCTGCCCGCACCGAGGGGCGCCATGCTGGGCCTTATTTTGGCGAAGACCCGGCCGAAGGGCCCGAATCAACGCGGCAAAAGGAACGCGGGGGGGGGGAGGAAGACGCACAAGGGCTAACGCATGGCGCAGATGTTGGTGTGCATCGCCGGCCCCGCTGGCCGCGAAACGACACAGGGCGCCGTTGATGCCAAGTATCAACGAGAGGGAGTGGGTGATGACCCCTACACCGGGCGGCCCGGCCGGGGACAAGTCGCCAGCGCATCCGGACAAAGATGCCAGCACCTCGGCAAAGGCCAGTCCCTGGGGAATGGAGCGCACATCATCTGGCGTCCAGTGCGCCTCAAGCCCCGGCCCGAAGCGGACACGGATCCGCGATGCCGATCCACGGACCGGCATTGCCGGGGGAGCGGGGGCCCTCGCTGCCAGGTGAGGACCGAGAGTGCTGCGCAATGTGGCCGCCAGGAAGTCTGTCATCAGCCAGAGGTACTGCTGCAAGGAGGCTAGCGGTGTGGCCGAGGCCCGGAGGCTGCGAAGAGGGCCCTGCCGCGGGGCGAAGTCCACCAATCGCGCATCCCCGGTTGATATCAGCCCCAGCAGGCACTGGCAGGCGCAGCCAGGTCGAACTGCCCCGCATGCAGGACACAGCATGTCCATGGCCGTGCAAAGTGCCAGGAAGAACGGCAGAGGGGGGCGGGGGAGACCGACGACGAGGCGGTGATGGCGAGGAGACGGAGGGGAGGGACTGGATGCCCGGCGAAGGCACGACGCGAGGGGGACTGTGATGCTGTCTCCATGGTGGGAACATCCGACTCAGATGCCCCGCTCTTCAGTGTGAGGGCCGGGATGCCGGACAAGGCACGAAACTCACCACCTGGGTATCCCCACACACCGATATATATATGTATGTATTTTTACATGAAGCCGGGCCAAGCGGCCCCGGGGCAGCGGCGCCACCGGGGCCCGGGCCCGGCACAGCCCCTCTCCGCGCCACTCTTGGCAGCGCCCTTTGCTCGACTCTCGATCATGTCCCCCCCCCCCCCGTGCCCGGACACAGAAAAAAAAATACACGCAGAAAGAAGGAGGCCAGGAGACACACCGGCAAAGGAAGAAGAAAAGTATATTGTTGAGAGGGGAGGGAGGTGTCCGCCTACATCGAGGGGGAAAGGGGGGGGGCGCGGCGGCGGCGGCGGAGAGGACAGGAGAGACGCATCCGCTGGGGTCTCGGCCCGATCCTCTGCCCGCCCTCGTGCCTCCGGCCGCATCGCGAGGCGCGCGCGCGCCTGCATGAATACACGGTGAGGGAGCACAAGAGGGGCGGCGAGAAGCAATGCCGAGGGGGGGAGGAATATACCACCACTCCCCACACTATCCCCCCGCCCGCCATAGGCACCCCCCCACTCGAACGAGGAGGGACACATCGGGGGGGGGGGGGGGGGGAAGAGGGCCAGCCAGTCGCATGGCCACAACCGGGCGCCTTCTTACTCGACCTCCTCCGGGTCGTAGGTGAAGGGCAG